ACGGTATTTCCTACGGGTGTTCCCCCGCGCAATACATGTCAATGGGTTTTCCATACAGCTGATGAACATACTAAGGGGTTTCCCCAGCCACACATGCACTAAAGGGAATCATGAGGGGAATAGAGTACAGCGAATGAACACTCAAGTTCACTAACACCTACAGGTTGCGGGCCTGCTAATGTTTCCCACTGGACTGTCTAGAACAGTCCATGGTTGTCATCCCTACTCTGCTGAATGACGGGGGTCAACGTTTGGGTAAGGGCTTTTCTCATATTGCACCACTCACGCCAACGTTTGGGTAAAAGCTTTTCCCATATTTCACCACTCACTCTCAACTCATGATCTATATCACTTATCATCTCATCTATCCAACTCACCTTTCATCACACACCCACTATTTAACTCATGATCTATATCACTAACTCATGAAGCTAGTATGATCACTTCATAAAAGAACAGAGACTCCAAAGCTCTTCCAAATAAAAGTATAGGGAAAATACTGATAAAGTACTCCCGTACGCTCCCGTACCCCGACACGTAATAGTGTCAAAAGGAAGAACTAATGGATGAACACATAGTTCAAAAACACCTAATGAACATATAGTTCAAGAACACTTTATGAACATATAGTTCAAACATACGTACCGATTACAAGTCTACTAACGTTCCACTGGACTATCTAAAATAGTCTGTGGTCGTTGTCTATACTCTGCTAGATGACTAGATCATCTTAAACATCGATACCTCTCATCACTTTTATTTCATCTAATTCATCCACCCATGTTTTACCCAACATATTTGTAGATAAAAATATATATACAGTTTAAAACTTGTATAAAACATCTATTCAACAGCCACCTTAATTAAATAATCAATATAATTACACATAGCACGTATTTTAAAGAAAATACTTCATATATATGTGTAAGGTGAAGTAACTACACACTCACCTGATTTAATGAAAATCGGGCAGCAATTCGTTTCCTAAAACGATCGTTTCTAATAAAACCGGGAGTTTTATTGAGAAACCGGGCTCTACGAGGGTCGGGCTTTGAAACCGAAAAATAAATTTCCCGGGCTTCTCGGGCACTCCGGGACGTGTTCCTGGCGTTGGAAATGATCTTGGGGCATCGGGGTAGGTCAAAATAACCAAAATATTGAAAAAGGGGTAAAAATGGGCAATTTCCCAAAATTACCCGGGAAGGCTCGCATGCCTTCTATTTATAGGTTGCGAGGTCCGAAGTCGGTTGATCAGAAGGGCGAGTCAGCGAGGCAGGTGGCAGCAGCAACGAAGGCCACATACTCGGATCCGGAGGAAGACACGCGTCGGACACGGGGTGCCCTCGGATTGGACCTGCGAAGCGAGGATGCTGAGTCAAAAGCGAGGCGCGTCGGACGCGCATTGGACCGGTGCTCGTACGAATCAGAAGGCGACGCGTCCTCGGCTGAGTCTCCTGCTCGAACACGTGGCTCGCATGACTCACCGATTTCGGACACATGGCACGCTACTAGCGAAGGTGACGTGGCATTTCCGGGTGAAGCTCATCCATGCGAAATTTCTCGAATTTTGTGCCAAAATCTTCTAAAATTCATAACTTTCGCATACGAGCTCCGTTTTTGACGTTCTTTATATGCACGAGTAGGTAAAATTACGCTCTACAACTTTCGTTTAGACTTCGTCGGCTAATTTTGACTTTAATTTTTAAATTATTATTTTTAACAGACAGGGACAGGAAATCCGTTAAAAATTCATAACTTCTTCATCCGACGTCCGTTTTCGTCAGACGTTTTACCGTTGTGCTACTAATGACGAGACCTTCGATTATTGTTTAGGTCGTGTCGGCTAAAAATGTCTCGATCTAAAATTCGAGTTTTTAGCTGTCTACTGCTAAGCTGAAACTTCGAAAAATCATAACTTCCTCATACGAAGTCAGATTTGGGCGTTCTTTTTATAACTACTCTCGATTTAACGAACACTACGAGTTTCGTTTAGATCACTAAGGCCAAAAAGTAGTTTATCAAAAACTCACTTTTTACGACATTCGGCACCGTGTCGGTTTATCGTGAAACTTCGACAGGTCATAACTTCTTCGTTATAACTCGGATTTCGGTATTCTTTATATATCCGTAATCCTTGTCACGCCCACTACAAGTTTCTTAATAGATATCGGCTTTATCTAAAATTTAATTTTTGACGCTCATTTTTATTCTTAATTAATTAAACACTAATAATTAAGCATAAAACACATAATTCACATAATTCCTTTTCATTTCTTCTAAATGAGTTACAAAGGTTAACCTAGACCATTATGTCAATATTAATGTCTAGCCTAAAAACACGGGCGTTACAGCTGAGATTCGAAAGATTGTTAATTGGTATGCTGAGATCAGAAGAGTCATCCATTAGACTGCGAAGATATTAATAACTTGATTCGTCACTGCTCACAAAGGGGGAGAATGTAGAGGTCGAATTTAGTTGTGAGGTGTCGAATTCTTTTGATAGCTTCGTTAGTTTGTAAACTTATTACAAGGGCATTTTAGAGTTCGAAGTCTAGTGCATTTAGTCCCTTGTATTTTTTGTTTGCTTCCATGTTCCCTATAAATAGGTGAACGGTACTAGAGTTAGAGAAGAACTTCATTGTATTTTGTCTAATCACTCTGTACTCTCTTGAAAGCTAATTGAGCCAAACAGACATTATTTACATTGTGTGTTCTACTTTGATTGTTTACTCTGATTGTATTGTTTTCACTCGATTGATTTGCAACTACAAATTGTTTCAATCTTTGTCAAATCCATGTTGATTCGTGAAGCTTAAAGTTGCAGAAGAAGATATGAAGTTATCATCGATTCTGATATCTTAATCCACGATTGCTGAAATCTTCATGTAAAAGAGCTAAATTTATGATCAATTTGCTAAAATCTTCATGTAAAAGAGTTGAATTTATGATCGATTTGCTGAAATTTTCTTCTTGATTGATTTCAAACTTATCATCAGACAAAATTGAGATTATGTTACAAATTGATGATTGATTGTTGAAATCAATATCTATTTTATAATATGAAACGTGAATAGATCTAAATCTTGTTCTATGAAAGACGTAATTCTCAATCTAGGGTTTCTATGAAACGAACAAGAATCTTATACGCTTATACATATTGTCAGCATAATAAAAAAATTGAACAATGACTCAACAACCCATGATACTCTAATTAAGCCCCTTAATCAAAACTAATTAACACTAATCATGTTTTATTGAGAACCATCAGATCAATTTTAATCAAGAGCTCAAAATTGGTCTCCTTGTCTCACAAAATAATCATGGTCTCAAATGAACATCTACCTATTTGTTTATAGTGTGTTTGTGTGTACGCGTGCTTGCAACTCCTTTTTGCTTATAGAGTATCTGACAATTTGTGGTCTTTAATTGGCATGAAAAAATAGACAATGTTGATTCATTCCAATAACTAGGTGTAAAATCTGTGTACTACACGGGTTGATTAACAAAAAGATTAAATATCAAAATATAAACAATTAAGTATTTTTTAAAATAAAATTTAAAATAAGGAATGAAGAAAAATATTAATTGTAATTTACTATCATATTTGTTATATTTAATATTTTACATATATGAGTATATAAATATTATGTGTTTTTTTAATTTTAAAAGTTGAAAATTCCAGAAATTGATATGTGAATATTCTTTATTTCAAAAATACAAGGTTGTAAAAATCGCTCGGCGGTAGCTCGACACTCAACTGACGATAAACGATTAATCGGACTAGGCGTGGATTAATCGGAGATTAATCGGGGACCCTTAACTATTAATAAAATTATTTAAAAAATTAATATTCCCTAAAAAACTAAGTATTTGAAAATTTTAAATTTTAAAATTTTAAAATTTTGAAAATTTTTGTTTAATATTTTAAAATTCGAAAGCTTAAAAATTTGAAAATTTAAAATTTTGGTGTAATATTTGAAAATTAAATTTTTTTGAATTTTTTTAAAAATTTCCGCCTATGATCGCCGAGACCGCCAAGGGCCGCCAATGACCACCAAGGCCGATTTTGACCGATTTTGACCAATTTCATGACCAATTTCCGCCAAACACCCTAATCGTAATTGGTTTAAGGCCGCCAAGCGATTAATCGGCCGTCAAGGCCGATTTCTGCAACACTGCAAAAATATCATAAAATGACAAATATCAAAACTAACGAGAAATTGACATATGTCACAATGAATATTCGTTTATTATAGTTGATTTTGACACTATTGAGTTATTCACCGGTGCTCCTATAGAAAAAATTCCTTGATCTGCCAATGTTAATTAAGAGACTATTTCAAAATTCACATCTTAACAAACTTTTTGACATATATTTCTGAAAAATCATAGGCAGCATCTATGGAAGTCAAACACATCAATTTTAAGCGACCTATTTTAATCATGCATAAAAAAGATTATTTAATACAAAAATTTTACTCAATTATAAAATTTGTGCAACCTTTGAATAGATTGGATAAAAAACGTACCATGTGATCTATATAGATACTCAACTAGCTATCAAACACCAACTAGCTAACAAACACCCTTGCTCATACACGAAAAAGATAATTTAATACCAAAATTTTGCTCAATTATAAAATTTGTGCCACCTTTGAATAGATTGAATAAAAAACGCACCATGTGATCTATATTAGCTATTAAACACCACCTAGCTTTTTTTTTTTTTTACAACGAAATTTATTAAAAAAGTGACCGGCCGGAGGCTAGACCACAAACAGTACAAACACCGACTAGCTATCTAATGCACAGGGGCGTAGCTACTCATTGCTAAGGTAGGTCCTAGGACCTGTCTTTTTTCTTTTTTAATACAACAATTATATATAAAAAAACATAAGGAACTATCTTATTTTTGTCAAAAGACCTATATTTGCATTTTTTTTCCGTTTCATTAATATAAGGAACCATTTTGATTTTGGTTCTAGATTAATACACCCAAATTAGATTGCATTAGTGACATTTATTCTAGCATTGCATTCTTTTGAAAAGGCTAACAGTTCAGGGTCATTTTGGATTATCTTCATGTCTTGTTTTCCCAAAGATAAGAGTGCCTCGATGCCATCCCCATTGGGAGTATCCATCATAATAATAACATTCTTTAAATTAACCCCACCAATAGTTACTTTTATAGGCTTTCCCCAACCGAAATTAATCCCGTATGTAGGAAACCTGTGTATGGCAGTATAGATGTAATAGTCATCAAGTCTTTTTGATATCTCAAGCCTAGCATTGTGATCAGAACACATCTCCTCAACTATATCTAGTGCAGTTTCTGTATTTCTTATACTTTGAAATTCCTTCTTTCTTTTCCTGAGTTCACCAATGATTTTATTTGGCGTTAGTTCACTTTCACTCATTGTTGGAAATTCCATCAAAAGATAAAAATTTCCTACGCTTGTTTCAGGCAGCGGCTCGACCAATTTATCTCTCATGTTCATTGAATGGCCCACGCCTGTTGGCTTGAAGATACCTGAGTTAGTTTTGCAAGCTGCTGCCACTGCGCACTTATGAATTAGCCATGTTAAAGCTTCAACTCGTGTAAGGTTCATGATATGTTCTCCAGTTTCCATGGTCATGCTAGTGATCTTGGCTTTGAGGTCGTCTATCTTTGAGTTAGGAAACACAAAACTCCTCGTGACATAGTCACCATGTGATCTATGCAAACTAGACATGTTAACGTTTCTAGTTTGGTAACAAATAAAATGCGGATTGATGTGTGATAGATCATGATCATGCGCCAATGAGCGGCATCGTGTCACTGTAGCCCAATGATTAATGAAATTAAACAAACTGCTTCCGTCGGCAACCTTGTGGGACAAAGATGCTGCCACCGCTACTCCTCCGCATGTAAAATGATTGACTTGAATGAACAATGGTGTAGTGCTTTCGTTTTCATCATTATGATCTTTGTGGTTTGATCGACTTGAACCATATTAGATCATCTGGAAAGAGTTGATCTAAATCTTCATGGTCTGATTGTTGGAGGAAGTCGGAGAGCGTACTGTCGTAACGTGCTTCAATGAACTCAACTCCCTCGTCATTGCAGTCGACATAGGTTGGGCAAGATTTTGCCAGCCTACCAGCATACGGATAGTACTGACTTAAGGTATGCGATAAGGAGTTCTTCAATTCTAGCGTTTTTTCATGGGAACTCTGATAAATACTGGAGCTTCGGTAGAACGCTACAGCGGGCATGTATGCATTCACAGCAACTTGATCAAAAAACGAAAGATTATATGTTTTGAGGTGAGAAGGTGTTGGAGAAGAAGGTTTGATGATATCTCTTGAGACAATGGTGTGAAGCTGTCTTCTACCAAATCGTAAGAGCTTGCTCATCATCATGTTCAAGATGGATTTATTAATTGTACTCCAATGGCGATTGCTGCGTGTTATTCCTTCTTTTATAGCCATAACTAGTGTTGAGATATAATTTTTTTTTTCTTTTTGTAAAAAGGGTCTCTTTTCAAAATTGTTTTAAAAAATAGGGTTGTTTCAAATTGACTTTTAACAAGTGTTGTGGCCCCATGGAATTGTAATTACATAAATAGTCCTTTTAGTTTTATATTATTACCATTTTCAATTATATGTTTTTTTTTATATTTTCTATTTCCATTTTTACCTTCTTCAGAATTGGCCTCGACGTTGCTTAATGACTCACTACTACTCCAAGGTGTGCTCATCAAATCTAAAGTCATTAGTTGTTTCACATCTATTATAATTAGGCAAAGCAAACAGTACTTCAAAATTACAAAGGAGATCTACTAACTAGTGTTTATTGACGGTGTTATTTTCATCTTTCTCAGCTGCCTTATGTCTAGGATGAATCATTTAAGAGTGGTGCCATGTTAGATCTCCCACAATATTTATAACAAATTTAACTTATAACAGATTTTTACTCTAATGTGTATGAGACAAATTTTTGAATTGTTGAAAGCATCTTTTGTGCCTAAGAATATCTAAGTAGAGAGTTTATTGTTCACCATTGATGAATCCATTTTCATATTAAATATTACCACCTCAGTATAAAATGATCATAAATGGACGAGTTAAAGCCATAACAACAAATATAAGAGAATTTAACGGCAAAATTATAGGACAAATAACATAAATTAGTATCTTAAATTTAATGTTGACATCATTTATCTATGCAAGATATATAAAAATAATACACACCTTGTGTTTGATATGAATCTATTCTCATATTCAATATTACCACCCCAGTATAAAATGATCATAAATGGACGGTTTAAAGCCATAACAACGAATATAAGAGAGTTTATGGCAAATTATAGGACAAATAACATAAATTAGTATCCTAAATTTAATGTTGACATCATTATATATGCAAGATATATAATACAAACATAAGAGAAATATGAAAACAGAGGATGCTGAGAAGACAAGAATTGAAGGATTGATAAGAAAAACAAAATTTCCTAATTAGAATTTATAGCATCAAAAAATGAAATGTATTCGATTATAAAGAATTAACATTACAATACATTCAACTTAGGCCACCAAATGTAGTGTGACATTTTTGGATTATTCAAGTCCTTTGAATTGATTTTATCAAGGTTCTAAATAACGTAAGGCGTGACTTGGCGGCAATGTCAAGCCTCAAGCTTTTCCGAGCGTTGGCGAGTCACGTCGTTTGTAAGGCGTGACTTAAGGCGGCAATTTTGTATATAATTCATATTTTTATATGTATTTTCTACTATTATTCATTTTTATACACATATATGTGTCAAGACGGCGTTTTGGTAAAGCTTGGCGGCACATGCAAGCCTTGGAGTCATGGCGGAGCCATGACAAGCTTTTTAGAACCTTGGATTCTATAGACATTATTATGGATTGGACAATTACTATATAAAATTTATATATTTATTGATTTATTTCTATTTCTTATATATATATATATATATATATATATATATATATATATATATATATATATATATATATATATATATAACACCCGTAAATTTGGGTTAGGGAATAAAGTTATTATAAATCATAATAATGAATTTTAAAGAGGGATTATTTAGGATAAATAATCTTCACCAAATAATAGTATATGTGAGGAGGATTTCGTACATATAAATAACGCCCAAATCCGACTTCGACGGAAGAAGTTACGACATTCCGAAGTTTCGCGTTCAAACAGTATGTCGTAAATAGTGAGTTGGAGATAGGTTGTTTATTAGCCTTAGTAATCTAAACAAAATTCGTAGATATTGTAAAAGCGAATTCGTGCATATAGATATCATCTAAATTTGCATCGTAAGATGAAGTTAGGAATTTTAGAAGTTTCAGCGTAGCAGTATACGGCTCAGAAACCGAAATAGAAATCGGTTGATTGTTAGGAAAAACAATCTAAACAAGGGATGAAGATCTTGTCCATATGGTTCCGTCGATATAAAGACAATCGAGAACGGATATCATATGTGGAAGTTATGAATTTTTATCGGACTTTAACAGTATAAGTCTGTTAAAAATATAGCTTTAAAATAAATTCAAAATTAGCCGATGGGGTCTAAACGAAAGTTGTAGATCTCATCGAGAGCTTTCTGGGGATATAAAGAATGTCGAAAACAAAGCTCGTATGAAGAAGATACGATTTTATAAATTTTTCCGAGAAGCGCCACACACAGGTGGGTTGCACGGTGCGCACCTTCTAGAAGGTGGGACGTGTACCACCATATTTGCGACATGTGGCAGAAAAATGGGAGGACCGACGTTTCAGGTGTGCACGACGCGCTCACTAGGCACAGCGTGCAGTTGTGCTATAAATAGATTGCGGCTGCTCATTTTCTTCCTCACTCCCCATCCTCCTCTCTCTTGAAATTGTCATGATTTTAGCCCGTTTCCCTTTTTAGCCTTCGGTGAAGCCTTGTGATCCCTGAAGAAATAGTAGCTAGCGAGTAGAAGCTCTGCCAGTTCAATTTCCTAACTTCTGTCAGGAAGAACCTCTGTAAGTTAAGCTACCCTCAAGTCTTTTCTGTGTAACTTATATTTATAGTCATAAGTTGTCATTATAAACCTATAAAACATATTTATCAGTAATTTCATATCGTTATACTGATTGATCTACTTACAGAAGACGTGTTTAGAATGGTCATGTTGGCTTGGTTGTTGGATTTCAGAAAAACTATTATGCTGAAATGATCCTGCTTCCCAACTGTCCTGCATAGTTGATCCTTACTTGATAGATCTTGATGTAGGCATTAGGATTAGTGAGGATCTAAACTGTTCTTAGTCTCTAGGATCATTAGACTAAAACTTTGTAGTAATTATACTTAGGTCACGTCAAGGAATATCTGAGGTGTTAGACGAAGTTCTGTCCAGATCACCAGTCACCCATTTTATCAATTAAGTGCATGGTCCCTTTCATCTTACACATAGATATGAAGTATCTAGATAATTACATGCTTATGTGTTTATTATGTGTGCCGAAGGTGATATGTGTTAGATAAAATAATATCAAATGATATTTAATTGATTTAATTATATAAGTAGTTTACACTTATAACATGAATTTGGTAGTGACGGGTGATGAGAAATAGGTGATGTTAGATTGGTGATAAATAGGTGATGACTACCGGACTGATTGATGACATCCCCGTAGAACACCGGCAGCGATGGACTTCATGCCTATAAACATTGGCAGCTATGGACTTAGTTCCTATTAGTTAAACGTTGGTAGCTATGGACTTAGTGCATATTAGTTAAACGTTGGACGCTATGGACTTAGTGCCTATTAAATAAACACTAGCAACGATGGACTTCTTGCCCATTTGATATAGGAGATGATAAGTCAATATGATGTAGGTGATGGCCCTACCAATAAGTTCTTTCTCGATTCCTTCTTTTGCCCGATTTACCCCTGCATAAACATACCCCATTCTTTGTCTCTCTTTTCACTAACAATTCTTTGATAAAGGGTTTGTTTAGGGTTTCTGATGCGACATCGACCTCCAGTGTGCCTTCTGGTCTTCAGCTGCGGCGGAGATCTGGATATCACAGTGCAAAGTCGTTAGAGCCGTCCCAGGGACTGTGCCCCGGGAGCAGACTCCGACGGTCAAGTTAGATCAGCTAGAAGATCTGAGATAATGTCAGGCATCAGCTAGCTTGTATAATGATTAGGCTCAACCTCAAGTTATGCAGCATGGATTATAACAATCGTGACTACTATACCAACATAAGAAAGGCTTTGTTAGTAGGATACTTTATGCAAGTTGCCCATTTGGAAAGCAGCGGACATTATTTGACTATGAAAGAGAATCTAGTTTGTTGCATCTTCCTTTAACTTGTTTTCTTATGTGTGTGTGTATACTTTGGTAAAATTAAACTTGCATTTGATGTATACTTTGGTTTGGTGTTTGTAGGTAGTTCATTTGCATCCATCAAATTGTTTAGATCACAAGCCAGAGTGGGTTATTTACAACGAGTGTGTCTTAACAAGCAAGCTATTCATCCAAACAGTTACTGATGTTCGTGGCCAATGGTTAGTACTCATCTTTACTGAGAAATTTTTCTCTAGTTTTTTTCACTTATGTCCATGAATGAGTTTGGTGATGTGATAGTAGATATTGGAATATATATGGTTTCCATCCCTCATGAATCATCTCATTTAATGACTAACATTCTTGATTACGTTTGAAAAAACTCCAATAAAAAAGAGTTTGGAAGCAACAATCTGAGGAGCTTTTAAAAGATTGATTTTTTTAAACGTGGCTGTTAAATAGGTGTGATTAAGTAAATTATTATCATTTATCAATACCTAACCTTAATTATGCCAATTAGGTTTGCTTAAACCTACTTGACTAATTTATTCCTTAAACCATCTTATCTTGTCCAAACAGAAGCATTGGGTGCATCAAATTGACCCTTAAGAATTCAACATATATGAGTATATGACAGAATATTGATGCTAGAGAGAAGGAAGGAAAAGATACTAAGAAATTAGGGCTGACACACAACCTAACGAACTCCAGTATGACAATTCTACCCTTAAAAGACAGAAATAGAACTTCCATTACAATAGTAAGTGATGGGTATCAGGGTGAAAAGGGAATATATTGATGATCAATTCGCTTGGATAGTTGTAGGATTGTGTCATCACTTTCCTTGAATTTTATTTTCTCCTTATGCCTAGTTTGAATCAAGATGTTCGAAAACTTGGTATTGCCAAAAAGTGGTGTATTATGAGTACTTATGCTCATTCTACCTAAAAGTTAGATAAGGATGACGGAAATAGTGTTTTCAGATATTAGAAAGGATTACAGGCAATAGTTTTGTTCGTCAAACTAACAAATCAGTTTGAACTTAACTAACCAAAACTG